GAGAGGCAATGTACAGAAATGGGGGAGGGGTGAGACATTGTCAGGCCGATGGGCAGAGGGAGGCTGGAATTAGGCAGGGCGGGACACAGGATACGGGGCTGCGACGGGAGGAAGTGGGATCGGGGAGCGAAAACGCGCCAATCTGAACCTTTGGTCTGTCTGCCCACTTGCCCGCCTGACCGGCTCTTCTGTCCACTCACTTGGACGCTCAGCCTCAGTCTCCCTATTCCCACTGCCTCATCCGTCGCTTCCTCATTGTCTTAGCCCGACAACTACTCTGCCGGTCTGGTCCACGACAAGGCGACATTCGGACACACTCCGGCCGCTGAGTACACACATTCAAATCCGGACCATTCTGCAACCACACACGAACACACACACACACAAACAAGACCAGATGATCGGCTCACCTTCGTTCTGTCCGAGCTCGCGTCTGCCGACCTCTCTTTAGGCCGGTGACCTGCAGTGACCACCCACCAATTTGGTTGCCTCCCCTCTGGGCGCATCTTCAATCGACATGCGCGCACAATGGCACGTACAGCTTTAACTTGGTGTCGTCTTGCAGACTCGGCCGTCTCTTTGTCCGGCAGGCATTTCGCCCCCTTGCCAACGGTTCGGCCAGATCAGCCCAGCATACGAGAAGGCAATTGGCGCGTTACCAACCCGTCGACCACATACTCTCGACCGGGGCATGTTTGGGGCCGAAGTGATGGCCAAATGGAGCGGCTTGGCACGAAGCTCGGAGGGCTGTGGGTGATGCGAAAATGTGGGCGTTGTTTGCTTGCAAACCGGAGCGAAATGACAGACGGAAGAGGCGACGGACAACACGAGCGACAGATAAACACAGGCAAAAAGTACTCTTGAGAAGGGCTCCAACTGGAGTAATGAGTAAAATTGGCAGAAATGCTGTTTGGAATGAGATATTCATCATCCCTTCATTCACTTGTCTTTGCAAACATTGCAAACCGGAAGAGTTATACAATTTGCGTCTTAGATGCAGCCAAAAGTGTCCAAGTAAATTGTGCGTACGCAAAGCCCAAGCAGAGATGCTCATCTGCAATATGATTTTTGTAAGCTGTAGAAGGCTTTATCAAACAGTAGCAAAGAGGGGCCTACCTCTTCAACGAGAAGATTGCAAAAAGAACCCTGGCAACAAAGAATCCAAGTCTAGCGTCGGTCTTTACCGTCGTAAGTGACATCGCCAGTAAGAGAAAGCCTCGTTTGCAAATAGCCGCACCAATTCACAAAGCCAGCAGAAAAGGGGTCCGGCTGCAAACCTATGAGTTCCATACTCATCATTTTTCCAGTCTCAATGAGACCTTCAACGATTGGGTTGGTTACAATGGGCGCTAACGCGTGGATGCGGTAGATGCATAAAAGCATTGAAGCCTGCACTTTTGACGAATGTTTGGCTATGTGGTATTGCGTGTTGTGTGTAAACAAAATCGAAGACATGTGAATTGCGAGTTCCCCCATCACAACCGCTAAATTAGGCATAAGAAGTGACCATGATTGAAGATGACAAGACTTTTGGGCCTAGTGCATTTTGTCTGTTGCTCGTACATAATATCTTCTCGCTTTGAAGATGTCTACCACGATGGTACAGACGAAAGCTCAGCACGGGTGCACCGAATTCTCCAGACAGAGGCGGTTGATGCATAAAATAGAAGTGGATGTTGTCAGATCTGTTCCCTCATATGAAAAGACCATTATAGTCTTAACGATTTTCGTTTTTTTTCGAGTAGGGTTTCGATCTCGAGGTCTTCGAGTAAAGTTATCTTCTGTTTTATGGCAGACATGACTAGGATGAGCAATCATAACTTTGCAAATAATCGTCAATAGAAACAAAAATTATATATAATATTTCCACTATGCTACAAAACTCCCTCCTCCTTCAAGCTAGGCGGTAGTTTCGAACTTGTGTCTGTCTTGAGACAAACGAGTTATGACGAAAAAAATATTTCTTATTCAGATTTACTTTGCAAGAATATGTATCAATCCCGACTACAATAGACGCTTCCTTAAAAATTCGTCTCCGACTTATTGTCATTTCATCATATGTGTCCCCTTTGGCATACAAGCACAAGCATGGGCTGGAGATTTGTATTTTCCGTCAGGCTAAGATGACATTAATAGGAAATTTACTGTTTTCAGAAAAAGATTACTTAACTTTCAGCCCGTGAAACGCAGATAAGCCGACGAAAATCTTCCTCTTACGGTGCTAATTAGATTAGAAATGTATTCACTCTATTCCACATAGCCTTGTTTTCCCAAAAGTTATTTTCATTAACAGTGGACCGTAGTTTCGACCTCGGCTAGGCTTTATCAACAGCCTCAGCGGGACTCAAACTATGAAAGTGCAGCGTATAATCTTGACTTTGTCTAATTCTTATCACTTTAAACGAAATAGCGTGGATACACCTCATATAAATAATCTACTAGTAGTCTCGAAAACCTATTCGAAACGAAATATAAATGAATTTTTTATACTATGACTATCGTTTAACACTGTTTTTTCTTTTATTTCATGCGATCTAGAGTCAGCATCCTATTTAATCAAATGTCAGCATCTAGTTTATGCTTATCGGTTGACACTCTATCTAGCCTCTTTGGATAACTTTTGATTCGGGTGTACTTTTTGCGTAGATCTTGGAGTACCTTTCATTGAGTTTGAAGAAACTGGTGAAGGTGATTTCTAATTTGGGCTCACCTGAAGCTGAATGGATAGGGACTCAGAGTTTTGACGGTAGATTTATGCGAATAGGTCCTCGGAGCACCGTCCTGTGACCCAGATAAATCCTTACTGAGCTTTCGCTCGTCATATGACAGACGGTTAGCTCCTTGCTATCACATTGAAAGTTACTTCGAATGAGTTGTGTATTAATCTCAAAAACGGAAAAATACCTTGTTGTGTTGACTTTTGCATTGCGTGGAAATCTGGACTGAAGTGAAGGACAAGTCAAGCTCATCAGAAGAGGTTGGATACCATCCTATGGTTCAGGTTGACGTGTCCTAATGAGACAACCTTCTTTGGTTTAAGTAAAAACAGGCTTGTCAGAACTG